TATCTCACGCCTCTCAAGGCGCTTTGCTTCTCAAACTCTCATCGGGATCTTGCCTTGCCAGGTGACATTGGGGCGCTTGCAAGGCTGGAGGCTCTCAGGTTGCATGGCTACGAGAAGCACCTTCCAGATTCCTTCTCCGACCTGTCTGCCTTGACGAGCCTTGAGCTGATTGCGATTGGCCGAGACTCTAAGCAGCTTCCAGAAGCCCTGGGAGAGCTGCGCAACCTCAGGGAACTGAAGCTTATTGACATTCTTATCGAGTCTCTTCCTAGCTTTCTGACAAGGCTTACGGCACTTCAGAACTTGGAGGTCAAAGGCTGCCCGGTACTCTCTACAGTATTCTCTGGACTGGATAAGCTTGTGGGGCTCAAGAGGCTGGAGCTGACGGAGTGTGATGAGCTGAAATGTCCCCCTGATGGTTTGCCACCCTCGCTTGAGACCCTCTGCTTGGGGCTCATCTGGAATCCCACCTGGAATTTTTACCATGTGGTGGACATCTCCCAGGTATCGCAGCTGCGGGTGTTGAAGCTGAACCGCGTTGGGGTGGAATGTGCGGCTGCAGTGTACTGGAAGCATTCATGCCGAGGGCAGCTGGAGGAGCTGGACTCTTTCTCCCAAGGAAAAGGTCGGAAACTCCCACTTCCTCCACCTTTCCTCCCTCGCCTGCGCAGCTTACTGGGTGAGCAGCTGGAGATGCTGTAAGAGCTAGAACAGTTCGAGCTGCAGAAGCAGGTGGAGCAGCTAGAGCAGCTGGAGCAGTTAGAGATGCGTGTATTAGAGGACGATCGGGAGCTCCCAATCCCATTGACCTGTCTCCCCCGCCTGCGCAGCTTGCTGATAGAGGCACCGGGAATCCGCAGCCTCCCGGAAAACCTGGCAGCAGCGTTGCCGGAGCTGCGGCAGTTGGAGCTTCTTTCCTGGTCACCTGAGGAGCTGCCAGGAAGCATATGGGAGCTCACCAAGCTGACGTCACTCACGATTCAAGCACCTCAGCTGACTTCACTACCTGAAGGCCTGACCTCCTTGGTTAGGCTGCGCAAACTGGAGTTGATTGGCTGTGAAGCCTTGCAGCACCTCCCGGAGTTCCTCACCCAGCTGCACCACTTGGTACTGCGTGATACCTCCATCTCTTCCGTTCCTGCGAATCTGGTGCAGGTTACTGAACAGCCTTGACAGGCAGGCTGGTCTTACAGCTGGACTGGATGACTTGACCTGCTTGAAGGTGCTGCAGTATCTCGAAGGTTTGCTGGCAACGTCTCAGTGCTGGCTGATGCTTGTTAAGAGGACGGTGTTCTTAAAGGCAAGCCTGCACCAGTGAAGCTGGTACAAGGGTAGATGAATCAAATGCTTATTGTACAGTTGTATTCTGCTCTTTGTTTGATATGTCTAGTCTTGTCTTGTTGTACCCCTGTTTGTTGCTTGGATTCATTGAGTCTTAGATTTCCTTTGTATGCAGTGTGCATATTCAAACTAAATTGATTGAGTGGCAGAATTGCAAACCTATCTCAGGTACAGTATGTTACCGGTAACATAAATGGCCCAACCCAGTAAGTCTCAACATGTTGACAAATAGACATGTGGAGTGGAGAAACTGTGAATGCTGTTGCTAGGCATGGGATTGCCAGGGCACCTCACGCTCATGATCGTTGTTCAATTCACTTCTGTGTTGAAATGTCACATCATTCTCATTACCCCATGGCAGCTGCTGCACAGCCCCAATACGGTTTGTCCTGATTCCTGAGGTATGAGAAGAAGCAGCCTGGAATTGGGTTGTGAAGGGGGGTTTGGGAATGGAATGAGATTGCTAGTGAATCAGCAGACGCCTATGCTTGGCAAATGTGAAACTGCAGAATACCCTCAATGCAGCAGACGCTCTCAAATTTCTGTGCCTGGATTTTCTGTACCTGAACATTCGGTGCCAGAGATCCCTGTCCCTGAGATCCCTGTCCTGAATGATCTGTGCCTGTAATTCCTGTGCCTGAATCCCTTGTGCCTGAGTTTCCTGTGCCTAATTGCCCTGTGCTGATTTCCCTGAGCCTCAGTTCCCTGTGCCTGTATTTCCTGTGTCTGCTCTGTGTGAGAGCATGGCTGCTCATGGCATGCGAGAGCATGGCTGCTCATGGCATGCGAGAGCATGGCTGCTCATGGCATGCGAGAGCATGGCTGCTCATGGCATGCGAGAGCATGGCTGCTCATGGCATGTGCCGCATGAGCCGCTTGTCTCGGCTGCGCAAACTGGAGCTGATTCACTGCAGCGCCTTGCAGCAGCTCCCAGTTTTTCTCACGCAGCTGCACCATCTGATTCTCCATGACACCTCCATTCGCTCCCTTCCCGCAAATCTCGTGCCATTGCAAACTAGTTGTAATTGCACCTCACGTTTTTCTTCATGTACTGTTGCCCAATCCACTTGTGTGTTAAAAAAGGCACATCATTCTCGTCTTGCCAACCGCTGGATGAAAGGCAAAGTTACCCCATGGCAGCTGTGGAACAGCCCGGATATGTACTGATTCCTTTTTTAGATACGGTACAAGAAGAAGACGCTGGAAATTGGTTGTGAAGGGGGGCTTGAGGAATGGCAGCAGACGCCTATGCTGGGCAAATGTGAAACTGCAGGTATCTACAATTCACTGTGCCTCATTTCCTTGTGCCTGAATACGCTGTGCCTCAATTCCCTGTGCCTTAGTTCTGTGTCTGAATTTCATGTGCTTTAATTCCTTGCGCCCGAATTTTCTGTTCCTAATGCCCTGTGCCTTTATTTTTCAGTGCCTTAGTTTCTGTGCTTGAATTCCCGGTAATTGAAACCCTCGCGTCTTAATCCCCTGTGCCTCAATCCCCTGTGCTTCAATCCCCTGTGCCTCAATCCCCTGTGCCTCAATCCCCTGTGCCTCAATCCCCTGTGCCTCAATCCCCTGTGCCTCAATCCCCTGTGCCTCAATCCCCTGTGCCTCAATCCCCTGTGCCTCAATCCCCTGTGCCTCAATCCCCTGTGCCTCAATCCCCTGTGCCTGAATTCTCTGTGCGATGCGCCACGGAGGGGTTCCCGTGCCTCACACCATGGCCCGCAAAGCAAATAGGGAGGTGACAAGTGGCTGTGGTTCAGTTAAAAGAGAGGGAGGTGGAGGTGGAACACCTGATACAGTTCAACATACACCACTCTTACCCCCCCACCACTTCTCATACCCCCAATTTCTCTCATTCTCCCCATTCCTCTCATGTCCTCACTCCACTCATCCCTCCCACTCCTCTCATGTCCCCACTGCTCTCATACCCCGCACGCTTCTCATAACCCCACCCCCCACTCATACTTAGGTAATTCCTCGCAATCACTGTTTCGTCTAGTCCTGATTTTCACCCTTGCTCTCCTGCTTGTACCCCTTGCTCTCATGCTTTCAACCCTTGCACTCCTGATTCCACCCATGCAATCTTGATTTTCACTGCTTTTCTCCCTTGCACTCCTGCTTTTCTCCCTTGCACTCCTGCTTTTCTCCCTTGCACTCCTGCTTTTCCCCTTTGCACTCCTGCTTTTCACCCTTGCATTCCTGCTTTTCACCTTTGCACTCCTGTTTTCGCCCTTCCATTGCTACTCTCTGCCGCATCAGCAGCACCAGCAAGCCTCTACCACACACTGTTTGATCTGCTCCCTGGGCTTTGAATCGTCACCACTGTCTCGTGCCCAGGCCTCTGCCATGCGTTGCCAAGCCAACCAACTACCGTATTGTGGGCCTAAGCTTCTTAAAGCTTTCGTATACATTTGCAAGTACTGTTCACAGTTGTACAGTATCCAAAAAAAAATCGCTCAAACGAAACCAAATGAGGGTGGCGAGAGGTTTTGCGAAAACTTGCACCTTTGAGGGTTCCAAACACGGGAAACTCCCCCGTCACCCAACCTTGCAGTGACTCACCAGCCGAAGCATGATAAGCGACTAACTAGCACAGGAACCGGGGCCTCGACGGGTTGCATCACGACGCTGGGTCGCCGCACTCGAGTAAGCCGTCACGCGATTGATAATTTAGGGGCCGTGTTCACTGAGCGGATGCGCGTTTCATGCGTTGGCCACGCCGCCACTCTCAACACTCGCTAGGTAGGCCTCTCCCGCTTGGCTCCTCACCCGCTGCGCGCCTTTCCCACTTAGCGCCTCACCCGATGCGCACCATGGCCCTTTATCCCCGAACCCGCTGCGGCGCCTCAGCCCTTAGGGCGTGTGACATTTTTCCTTTGTTTTGTCCGGATGTCTAGCCGTTCGGACGGTTGTGTGGTTACCAGAATCCTTCCAGCTCGCCAGCTACACCCTATTCTCGATAATTTCACACCCCCTAATTTCACACCCCGACTCGGGATCACCAGCAGGGGCTTTGGGCTGCCGAGCTGGCGAACCGTGAAGGATCATTGAGCTGACAATTGCAGAAATGACCGCTATTTATACTGTCCGCAGCCCAGAGAATTGGGGGAGATTGGGGATTCTTTCGGGTCGCATCCAATTTTTTGTCAATCACAAGGTGTCAGTTTTCGTTGCACGGCTTTGGGTTGGAAATTTGGGACTGCATTTGCTACAAAGGCATGTTACTTCCAAACCATGCGCATGTGTCGAATTTTCAACCCATTTGTGATTAGGTTTTCGATTTTGGGTGTGGGCACTCAAATTCGAATTTGTGGTCAGGATTACGATAAACGCAATCCTGACGTGACTGCTTTTCATTGGACACAAATATTTTCCAAGATCGTCAACACTGAGGAGGGTCATTTCAAGTCATTTTCATTCCCTGCCAGCACAGCTTTACCGCGCCTCGAGAGTGAAATTATCGGGGAGAATATTTGCCCCTTTAATTTCACACCCTCTCGGGCAAAAAAAATCGCGGTTCGGGATGAGGGGGTGTGAAATTATCGAGTATATGGTGTAGCTCGTCCAGAATCGAAACGACGTCGTATGTGTCGCCTCGCGTCCTTACCACGTCGCAAAGCGACCGTACGATGTCGCCAGCTTTGCAAGCGCTCGGACGTATGTCGCACAACGTCCGGACTTTCTGCGATTTTGAAAAATGTCACACGCCGTTAGCGCCGAACCCGCGGCGCGCCTCAGCCCTTAGCTCCTCTAGGTTCGCGCGCCTCATTTTCATCTACAGCGCCGCACCGGCTGCGCGTCTCTCTCGCTTAGCGCCTCACCCCCTGCACTCCTTTCCCGCTTAGCGCCTCACCCCCTGCACTCCTTTCCCGCTTAGCGCCTCACCCCCTGCACTCCTTTCCCGCTTAGCGCCTCACCCCCTGCACTCCTTTCCCGCTTAACGCCTCACCCCCTGCACTCCTTTCCCGCTTAGCGCCTCACCCGCTGCGCGCTTCGGGAGCTTAGCACATACTCTTCTCATTACCCCCCCTTCTCCCCCCTCATTACCCACCTTTATCCCCCCTTTACCCTTCATTTCCCCCCTCCATTTTCCCCCGTTTTCGGGTCTTTTCTCCCCCTTCTCCCTCTCAGTTCCCTGGCCTCTACCCCTCACACTCCCCCCTATTCGCTCTCAATTCCCCCCCTTAGCCCTCACATTCCCCCCCTCTTCTCCCCGTCATTACCCCCCGTTCTCCCTCTCATTTCACCTCCTGGACCCTCTCATTTCCCGCCCTTACCGCCTTCAATTCCCCCCCGTCTCCCTCTCATTACCCTCCCTTATCCCTCTCATGTGGCTGCCCATCCTCCCTCTCATCACCCCCCTTCTCCCCCTCATTTCCCCCCGTTCTCCCCCTCATTTCCCCCCCTTCTCCCCCTCATTTCCCCCCGTTCTCTCCCTCATTTCCCCCCCTTCTCCCCCTCATTTCCCCCCCTTCTCCCCCTCATTTCCCCCCGTTATCCCCCTCATTTCCCCCCCTTCTCCCCCTCATTTCCCCCCCTTCTCCCCCTCATTTCCCCCCATTCTCCCTCTCATCTACCCCTCTGCTCCCCTTCATTTCTGCCCTGGCTCCTTCTCACTTCCCCCCGTGCTCCCTCAATTCCACCCTTGCCGCTTCTCCCTCTCATTTCCCCCCCCTTCCCCCCCACATATCCACCCCTTTCCCCCCTCATTCCCCCCCTTCTCCCCCTCATTTCACCCCCTTCTCACCCCCCCTTGTCCCTCTCATTTCATATTCTTCTCCACCTCCTTTATCTACCCTACTCCTCTTCATTACCCTCATTCTCTGCCTCATATGTGCCACCTTTTTCCCCTTCCTCCGTCCCGTTCCCCCCACTCCTCTCACTAGCAGGTCCACCAAGCGTCCCACACTGTCTCGCTCCCCTCTGCTGCACACCAATGCCAGGCATGCAACAGCAGCAGGCAGCACGTGCGGCATCTTTTTGCTTAGTTGACGGCCACCGGTGGTGATTCAAAAAGCATGCATACACTTCTAACTCGCTGCACACGATATTAGGAACGTTATGGCCATATAGCTATCTACACTTTATCAAGTTTGATTGTAATCATTCCTCTCAACCTTCTCACTAATTACATATAAAAAGAACATCTGTAGGCCAATTTTCATCAGTACCATACCATGCATGTGGGTAATCGTATGCCCATGCATCTCAGGCCCTCATTGCAAATCTATCTTGATGGGCCATTCCCATTCTCTTTTGAACCCCTCAATGTCACCTTCATCCTCGTCATTTTCAACACCATCCTCGTCGCCTGCAAAGGATCAGAGGGGCTGGAAGGAGAATGAAAGGGTTTGAATGGGGATGGGAGGGACTGGAAAGGGATGGAAGGAGCTGGAGGGGGATGGGAGGGGATGGGAGGAGCTGTTAGGGGATTGAAAGGGGATGGGAGGGGCTGGAAGAGAATGTGAGGGGCTGGAAGGGGATGGAATGGGAGGGGCTGGAAGGGGATGGAGTTGGATGAAAGGTTATGGCAGGGGAAGGAAGGGTAGGCAGGCAAGTAGGGGAGGCGGGAGAGATGGTTACGAGGGCATGGAGGGAAGAGGAAATGGGGAGGCGGGAAGGAGAATTGGGGAGGAGGGAAAGGGAAACGGGGAGGCGGGAAGGGGTAATGGGGAAGCGGGAAGGGGAATTGGGGAGGCGGGAAGGGGAAACGGGGAGGCGCGAAGGGATAGGGGGAAGCGGGCAGGGGTAATGGGGAGTGGGAAGGGGAAACGGGGAGGTGGGAAGGGGTAATGGGGAGGCGGGAAGGGGAAACGGGGAGGCGGGTTAGGGGTAACGGGGAAGCGGGGGGTAAAGCAGAGTGGAGAGAGGGGGAAAAAGGGCGTAAGGCAGAGAGGGGACAGGGGGAAGCAGGGCGTAAAAAGAGAGGACGCAAGGTGGGGGCAGAAGGGGGTACGGAAGAGGGGTACGGGAGAAGCAGGGTGAAAGAGGGAAAGGGAGATAGGGAAAAAGGGAAGCAGTGCGGGTAGAAAGAGGGAAGAAGGGTGTAGGGAAGATAGGGGAAAGGGGAAAGCAGGGCGTAAGGCAGAGAAGAGAGAGGGGGAAGCAGGGTGTAGGGAAGAGAGGGAAATGGGGTTTAGCAGGATATAAGGGGGAGAACGCATGGTGGGAGAAGAAGGGTGTGGAGTAGAGAGGGGAAAGGTGGAAGAAGGGAGGCAGAGTGGAGAATAGATCAAGAGGGGTGTAAGACAGAGAGGGGAAAGGAGGTAGAAGCGTATAAGGCAGAGAGCGGAGAGGGGAATGAAGGGTGTAGGGACGAGAGAGTAAAGGGGGAAGCAGGGCGTAAGAAGAGAGGAGCTAAGAGGGAGAAAGGGGGTAGGTGAGCTTGAGAAGTGGGGGGGGGGGGGGGGGGGGGAAATGAGACGGAGAATGGGGAAAAATGAGAAGGAGAAAGGGGGGACATGAGAGGGGGGAGGGGGGTAGACGAAAGGGGGAAACGAGAGGGAGAAGGTGGGGAAACGAGAGGGAGAAGGGGGGGTGAATAAGAGGGAGAAGGGGCGAAAATGAGAGGCAGCGAATGGGGCAATAGGAGGCAGAAGGGGAGGAAATGAGCAGGTGAATGGGGGGGGAAACGAGAGGGGGAAAGGGGAGGGGGGGGGAATGAGGGGGCACATCCGGGGAAATGGGAGGGAGAAAGGGGGGAAGTGAGCTTGAGAACGGGGGGGGGAATGAGGGGGAGAATGGCGAAAAATGAGAAGGAGAAAGGGGGGACATGAGAGGGGGGAGGGGGGTAAACGAGAGGAGGAAGGGGGGAATCGAGAGGGAGAAGGTGGAGAAACGAGAGGGAGACGGGGAGGCGGGTAGGGAAAACGAGGAGGCGAGAAGGGGAAACGGGGAGGCGGGGAGGGATAATGGGGAGCGGGAAGGGGAAACGGGAAGGTGGGATGGGGAAACGGGGAGCGAGAAGGGGAAACGGGGAGCGGGAAGGGGAAACGGGGAAGTGGGAAGGGGTAATGGGGACCGTGAAGGGGAAACGCGAATGTGGGAGAGCGGGAATGCGAAACGGGGAGGCGGGAAGGGGAAATGGGGTGCGGGAAGGGGAAACGCAAATGTGTGAAGGGGATACTGGGAGCGGGAATGGGAATCGGGGAGGCGGAAAGGGGAAATGCGCGGCGGGAAGGAAAACCGGGGAGGCGGGAAGGGGTAATCATGACACGGGAAGGGGAATTGCGGTGGAGGAAAGGGGAATTGGGGAAAGAGGGAAGGGAAGATCGGAACAGGGAGGCAAGAAAGGGAGATCGGAAGGCAGAAAGTGGGAATTCGGAGGCACTAACGCGAGACACGGAGCCACGCAGGCGAAATAGGGAGGCGAAAAGGGGAGATGGGAAGGCGCTGGGAAGGGGAGAAGAATTGGCTGGTCAAGGAGACCGTTTCGGAAGTCCATCGCGACCTCAAGTGCGGCTGCCGTGGCTAGTGCGGAAACGGGGTAACAAAGCTGCGCGAGCGGGAGGCGACTGTGATCGTGCGAGATCCCGCTGTTCGGCAGTTTCAGATGCAGCGTGCGTGTTCAAGGAGGTGTGAGGAGGCAGCGAGGTGAGGCGATGCGACGCCGCGACGGACAACGAGGCGAGGCTAATGAAAGGAGGTCCGTTGTGATCGGCTCGGCGAGGTGACTAGAACCGGCGCCGGCTAGGCCACAAGCAGCGGTTTGATGCGGCGCGACGAGAGTGGTAGGTGGAGGGATGTCGCGTTTGAAAGCTAGCGGGCGCGGCTAGTGCTGTTTCAATGTCGACCGCGTGTGATGCGGGAGAGGCGAGTGTGAGAGGGCGGAACTGGCGTTGGTGCGGAAGTTACGTCGCTGTTTGTGTCGGAAACGGGGTTCTTTGCGCTGGTTGTTGAATCGCGATCTGCTTATCTACGTAGTTTTCGGCCTATCATGCGTTGTGGCCTAAGTCTGAGAAACATGGTAATTTGTATCCTTCTGTTTCAAAAGTTTTGAACCAGCAGTCAGAGGAGATGGTGCGGGGTGTCGGGGGGATCATCTCCCTTGTGGGACGAGGGAAATGAGCTGTAATAGGGTAACCAGTTTTCAAATTTCAAAACTTCTAAAACTCCCACTTTCAAATGTATACGAAAGCTTTAAGATGCTTAAGTTTGCTTCTCTTGTGGAATGATCATACCAGAATATAACCTTGTCGTGCATGCCTGCCTTCACTACCGTATTTCAGAAGTGAAACACTCAGATCGAATTATGGTGCTGTGCTGTGCTGTGCTAGAGGGACGTAAGGACCACTTGAATCTTAGATGCAACAAAAACGAGTTCATAGACAGGAACCCAACACAACCAGCAGCTGCACATTAGAGGAGAGTGTTCTCATCATTCCGGATTGCGGCATGCATGCCGTGCAAATCCACGGGTAGAACATAGGTAACGTGCCAGTGGCCTTGGCAGGAGCAGCACTCCTGTTGAGCAGCAAGCAAGGTTATTTCTGACTAGTCTCAGGAGTAGGTTGGTTCAAACGAAGGGAACGTGCTGCTGCTACTGGTAGCAGCAAAAGGCCATTCAGCAGCATTCACGAGAGAAAGAATTGCCCTTCGCCAAGTGGCGACATATTGTCCAGCGATGGCAGCTCCTCGGTGGTGTGGAGGGCGAGGATGGTGATGAAGCGTGAGAAGAGGCAGAGCACAGCGGTGGAGAAACAGCCGAGAGCCAGGAGGGAGACATGATGAGCGTGGTGATCTTTATCTTGTGCCTGCCAAATAGGGCCTGCAGAGAGGGAGAGGTGACGACAGGCAAGGTAGGGAAGGTAGGCAAGGCAGGGAAGGTAGGGAAGGCAGGGAGCCCCCTCTCCCTACCATCCACCTCCCCCCACCGTCCCCCTCTCCCTACCATCCACCTCCCCCCACCATTAGCATCTATTCGTTGGCCAATAATGTTAGTTGCCCTATAATGTTGGGAGTAGCCAACAACTATTGAGGGGGTGAGGGCGCGGGAAATGGCTGTGAGCAATCAATGATTGGTTCCCCGTCAATTGCGGCCTAAAGCGGTTGGGGGTGTCCCGAACAAGAGTGTACATGTTGTTACACTTATACAACTAGAAGAATCGAATGCCATATTCTTACACCTCCCCCCACTATCCACTCATTGCGCTCGCCACCTGCCTCACCCCTCACTTCGCCACCTGCCTCACCCCTCACTTCGCCACCTGCCTCACCCCTCACTTCGCCACCTGCCTCACCCCTCACTTCGCCACCTGCCTCACCCCTCACATCGCCACCTGCCTCACCCCTCACTTCGCCACCTCTAAGTTGGAAAAAACGCGTTTTGCGTTTTGTACGATTTTGTATATACGCCAGAGTATATACGCAAAACGCAGGCCATGCGGGGTCTGGTACGCACAAGAATACGCTTGCCCGGGCAGGAAAAAAGTTTTTCCCGGGCAGCTTTTTGGGGTAAGAGGTGGGGATGGGGGGGTGTTGTAACCCCCATCCCCTTTTTATTAATATGAAAGTTACAGGAAAAAAAACCATTAAAACTAATCTGCCACTTCTACTTCCCCCACCTTAATCATGCTACTACCACCCCTCCCTCCCCCTACTCCACACAGGTCCACCATTGATCCCCTGCCCCCCACACATGTATGGTGCCTTCCATCCACTAGTACTCATCGGCCATCACATCATCCTCCCCCTCCTCAGGTTCCTCCACCTCCTCCTCGACGTTGTAGCCAGCCGGAGTGGGGGGCTCCTCGATGTTTCCCTTCACCACCCCCTGCCCTTCAGGGAGCTTGTGCCAATTGTGCACAACCTGCCAATTGTGCGTCACGTACACGAGGTCCCGAAGCTTCTCCGCGCCGAGACGGTTCCGGCGTGCCATATGCACGGCATCAAACTTCGCCCAGTTCCGCTCGCATGGTGACGCGGACACCGGCTGCGTGAGCATGCGGCAAGCAAGCGTGGTGAGCTCGGGATGTTCGGTCCCGTGCCACGACCACCAGGCCACCGCGGTCATCTTGCCCTCCTTCACTGCCGCACGGTCGGCAATAGCGTCGGGCATGCCGAAGCAGCCCGTCAGGTTTAGGAAGGCAGTGAGGCCTTCCTGGATGACGAGGGAGGCACGGCGCTCGACCCCGTCCTTCCTGGTGATGGTCTGGTCGTCGAAGTGCTTGGACACGAACTTCTTGAAGACCCTCGTGCACTCGAGGTCATGGCGGAAGATGCCCTCTTCCTGGTTGGTGGGGTTGAGGATGCGACCAACCACGTGCATGTCGCACGCCAGCCGGTTGTCCCAGCGGTCCTGCACGATCTTCCGAATATCTCCCACCTCTCCCCTTGTCAGGACCCCTTCTGCGTGCTCGTCGAGGAAGTCGCGGATGTCCTCGGTGAGCTGGAGCATGAGGTCGTAGAGACGACCCATCATGCCCTTTGCATCCGAGTCCGTCTTGCGCATGACAACGAACGGAAGCTTCATCAGCTTCGCGAAGAACTCCGCGCGCGTCCACCACGTGTCATCGAGGATGTTGCTCTTGAAAGTATCTGCCCCAACCCTCTTTGCAGCCGTCGTCCACTCGAGCCACTCATCGCTGAGGACCATCTGCGTCAGGCCGGAGCGCACTTCACACAGGCGGTTGATGGCGATGTAGTTGGTGCCGAAGCGGGTTCCCGCGGGCTTCAGAACCTGCTTCCCTTGCCGCCGTTCACGAGCTTGCTCCGCATGTAGCCGCGGGTGAAGTGATGGTTGCGGACGAACGAGATGATGGTGTCCCCGCGCGTGACGATGTCCTTCGCCCATCCAATTTTCCCGATGTCCTCCATCAGGAGATCAAGGACATGGGTCGCGCAAGGGATGTGTTCGATGTGGGGATACTCCGTCATCAGCTCCCTGCAGGCCGCCGCGTAATTGGAGCCGCCGTCAAAACACAAGGCGACGACATTCTCCGCGCCAACCTTCTCGATGACGGGGCGCAAGATGCCCGCGATGTAGCCGCCGGTCTTCATCTCCATCTTCGTGTCGATCGACTCCACGAACACGGCTCCGCTATCGTTGATGAGGAGCACATTGGCTTGCGGGCGGCCGGCCTTGTCAGAGAACATGTCGCTTGCAACGGTGACGCCGTCACGACGCCAGCTTGCAGCGATCGGACCGAGTGCCGCCTCAATGCGCTGGCGACATTTTGCAAGACCAGCGCCACCGATGTAGCGTCTCTTCGGCGGCACGTAACCCGTCCCCGCGCGCGCGATGCTGGAGACTGCGTTCCGCCAGAGTGGGTGGTCCGCGTGATGCTCCGGGATATGAAGAGCGGCAAAGAGCAGGCAAAGCGCCTCGTCCGCAGCTTGCTTCGCGCACGCGGCGTCGTCGCCGTAGAAGTCGGTCATCCGCGTCTTCTTCTTTCGGAACCGCCATTGACTGCGCCGACCGCCGCAATTTCAGCCGCACGCTTTGCTTCACGGGCCTTGAACTTGTTCTCGTAAACCGCCTTCACGGCGTCCCGTGCAGTCTTCGGCGCTTCAGTGCAGAGATGCACTTCACGACGGCGCATGCCCGTCCAGCTGGTGATATGCTGCGCGCAGCGGTACGTCCCGCCAACAAACTTGAAGCTGCAGTAGGCACACACCTTGGTGCCGTTCTCCCCCACGTTATCAGCCGGCACCATGAAGTGGCGGTAGACTGGGTGCTTGCTGTCCATGCAGACCAGAGCAGTAACAGAAGAGGTCCCTCCAGCGGAACTACCAGGAGCCTCTGAGTGTGGCGAACGAGAAGTTGTTGCTGTAGGAGTAGTAGAAGCCATGGTGGCTTGGGAGGGGAGGTAGCTAGAATAGGAAGCGAGAGAATGAATGACGAGTGAACAAATGCCTCCCTTTATGCCTGGGAGATTGGGTTGGGTTGAGCACCCAACCAGTAAAGTAGCAGTTGGAGGGGATGGTGGAATGCTGTGGTTAATAGGGGTGTGTAACGGTGGAGGGGAGGGGTTGCTGAGGTTTGGAGCTCGAAATTCAAAAATTGAGATCATTTCGCGACATCTGCGACTCGGAAATGAGATCGCCACGTTGCGAGCTTCAGATTGAAATTTTGTTTTTTTTTTTTCGGTCTGCCCAAAATTCAACTCGGCGAATTTTCAAACTATACGCAGCGTACGAATTCGATAAGAGTATAAACGCAAAACGCAAAATGAAAGTAGCGTATATTCCAACTTAGCGCCACCTGCCTCACCCCTCACTTCGCCACCTGCCTCACCCCTCACTTCGCCACCTGCCTCACCCCTCACTTCGCCACCTGCCTCACCCCTCACTTCGCCACCTGCCTCACCCCTCACTTCGCCACCTGCCTCACCCCTCACTTCGCCACCTGCCTCACCCCTCACTTCGCCACCTGCCTCACCCCTCACTTCGCCACCTGCCTCACCCCTCACTTCGCCACCTGCCTCACCCCTCACTTCGCCACCTGCCTCACCCCTCACTTCGCCACCTGCCTCACCCCTCACTTCGCCACCTGCCTCACCCCTCACCTTGCCAGTAACCAGGGAGGAGGGCACGAGGGACTGGAAGCGAGTGGCAGAGCCGTGGCAGCCCAGTGCGAGGCAGAGGTTTGCTGGGCAGGCAGTGCACATCATAGCGCCCTGCCACGATGCGACGGACGAGCTGGGGGCGTGTGTGGCAAGGGGGGAGGGTGGGCGAAGCAGCACGAAGGAGCAAAGAGATGAAGCTGGCGAATGGGAGAAAGGGAAAGAGGGGAAAGGAACGGATGAAGCATCAACGAGCACAAGAAAACGACGGAGGGGTGATGGAGGGCCTGTGGGCCTGTGGGCCTGTGGGCCCGTGTCGAAAGAGCTCGAATTGTGCGGCGAGGGGTAAGGGAGAAAGAGCAACGGGCATGGGCAAGAAAGGTAGGGCGGGTGAGTTGCATGCCATAGGACCCCGCCATGATGTGCTGGAATAGCTGGGGAGAGAGGGGGGAGGAAAGGGAAAATGGGGGGGAGGAGGATGAAGCCATGAGCACAAAAAAGCAAGGAAGGTAAGATGGGAGTGGAGAGAGTAAGAAGGATCATAGCCGATCAATGATGTACTGATAGCTGGGGAGCTGTTGCTGAGGAGGAGGAGTGAGGAGGGAGGAGGGAGGAGGGAGGAGGTAGGAAGAAGCAACGAGGAATGCAATGAGGAAGGGAAATTCGAGGTAGGGCAGAGAGAGGGAGAGAAAAGCGAGGGGGGCGCAGGATAGGCAGAGTGATGCACGCTGCTGGCTGCACTATGCACACATGGGAAGGGGGGAATGACGATGGGGATGGGGATGGGGGAGGAGACGTTGAAGGGAAATGGAATGGGGGAGGGGAAAGGAGAGCGCATGTGTATGGAGGAGACAGGGTTGGGGACGAGAAAGTATAGGGGGGAGGGAATGGAGGGCCAACAATGGAGAGTGATGGCTGCACAATGCACACCTGGCGTGTTCTTGGACAAAACGAGGCCAGTGAAAGAGACCGGTGAGGTGAGGTTGAGAGAGGCGGTTAGTGATAGGAGGAGAGGAGGGGAAGAAGGGAGAGCTTAATCCTACTTGGCCATCTCGGATCGATAGCACTGCCGCATGGCACTCAGGCACAGGGCATGCCGCTGCAGGGCATTCAGCTGAGAGTAATTCGCAGGGCATGAAGCACACGCGGAGGGACCTTGAAAGACACCACCCTGGCATTTAGCCTCTCACGGATCAACCTCAAACACAGCTGAATCACCTGAGAGCCACCTGGCTGGCCTGAGAGCGACCTGAGAGAGTGACCTGAGAGTGACCTGAGAGAGTGACCTGAGAGTGACCTGCTACTGAACCATAAGCAGCTTACAACGCACGCCCTTCTCGCCCTGCTCGTCCTTGAGGAAGAAAACTGCCTGTCGCCAACAGCCTCACTACTAACGACCTGCAGGTGGCCCATAACTAACTCACGCCCCTCCCTCTCACTACTTACGCACCTCCTTCTCCTTCTGCTTGTCCCTGAGCTCGTTCCTCATTGAGGAAGGGCACGACCACAGGGCACCCAACACACTCGCCAAGCATTTTGTGCAGCCACACCAGTGACCTGCTAGTGATTCATACGTGGCTTACACCCCTCTCACCACACTCCCACCTCCTTCTACCTCTTCTCGTCCCTGAGGATGAACACAGCCACGAGGCACCCAGCAGCCGCGCCCAGAATCGCCTCATGCACACACAACGCACCTCCTCCTCCCTCTGCTCACCCCTCCTCAAAAACTGCCATGGGGCACCCAGCCGAGCCGAGCCGAGCCGAGCCGAGCCGAGCTGGCTGGGCAGCCCAGCCGAGCATCGCCCACCGCCACAACAATCACCTAAAAGGCATTCCACCACCTACCTCCTTCTCCCTCTGCTCCTCCACGAAAACAAGCCGCCATTGGTCACCCAGTAGCCCGCCTAGCTACGCCTGCTGCTACTGACCAGGTGAACCATAGCATGCCCGCATACTTTTCATCACGCACCTTTTTCTCCCGCTGTTCTTCTTTCAAAAGCGAGACGGCCACACAGCACCCAGCAGCCTAGCCTCTCCCAGCTTCGCCTGCAGCCACGGCCCACAGCAGTGACCTTCCTGCCAGTGACCCCAACCAACTCAGCCCACTTCCTTCGCCACACACACCTCCTTCTCCCGTCGCCCTCCTTGAGAAAGAAAACCGCCACGGGGCACCCAGCAGCCCCACCCCGCTCGCCTGCAGCCCCTCTCACACCTCCGCCACGTCAGCAGCCGCTGGCGTGTTGCTGTGGGGGTGAACAATGCGCCCGCGTCGCAGGGTCGAGAGTCGGTGGACCAGAAGTTGGTGTAGGCGAAGCAAGTGCGCAGCTGGGGGTGGTAGTTAAGGGTGTGCGGGGGGGTGGAATGGGAGAGGGCGGAAAGGGTAAACGGCACAGGTGGCTTATGAGTGATGGATATGGAAGGCAGTGTTGTGGAGGCGTGAAGTCGGTGTGGGAGATGCAGGTGCAGAGCAGCGGGTACGAGGGGTGGAGGGGGGAAGGGAGGGGAGGGTGCGTTGCAGCCTTGGCATGGAGTACACTCAAAAGTCTGCATGTTCCCCTGAGAACAGTGCGCCCATGTTGCGACCTGCAGGGGCGCACAGGCAATGAGTGCACAGCCCATCCAGGACTTGAGAACAGTGCACAGCCCCTCCAGGACTTGAGAACAGTGCACAGCCCATCCAGGACTTGAGAACAGTGCACAGCCCATCCAGGACTTGAGAACAGTGCACAGCCCATCCAGGACTTGAGAACAGTGCACAGCCCGTCCAGGACTTGAGAACAGTGCACAGCCCCTCCAGGACTTGAGAACAATGCACAGCCCATCCATGACTTGAGAACAGTGCACAGCCCATCCAGGACTTGAGAACAGTGCACAGCCCATCCAGGACTTGAGAACAGTGCACAGCCCATCCATGACTTGAGAACAGTGCACAGCCCATCCATGACTTGAGAACAGTGCACAGCCCATCCAGGACTTGAGAACAGTGCACAGCCCATCCAGGACTTGAGAACAGTGCACAGCCCATCCAGGACTTGAGAACAGTGCACAGCCCATCCAGGACTTGAGAACAGTGCACAGCCCATCCAGGACTTGAGAACAGTGCACAGCCCATCCAGGACTTGAGAACAGTGCACAGCCCATCCAGGACTTGAGAACAGTGCACAGCCCCTCCATGACTTGAGAACAGTGCACAGCCCATCCATGACTTGAGAACAGTGCACAGCCCATCCAGGACTTGAGAACAGTGCACAGCCCATCCAGGACTTGAGAACAGTGCACAGCCCCTCCAGGACTTGAGAACAGTGCACAGCCCATCCAGGACTTGAGAACAGTGCACAGCCCATCCAGGACTTGAGAACAGTGCACAGCCCATCCAGGACTTGAGAACAGTGCACAGCCCATCCAGGACTTGAGAACAGTGCACAGCCCCTCCATGACTTGAGAACAGTGCACAGCCCATCCAGGACTTGAGAACAGTGCACAGCCCATCCAGGACTTGAGAACAGTGCACAGCCCTTCCAGGACTTGAGAACAGTGCACAGCCCCTCCATGACTTGAGAACAGTGCACAGCCCATCCAGGACTTGAGAACAGTGCACAGCCCATCCATGACTTGAGAACAGTGCACAGCCCATCCAGGACTTGAGAACAGTGCACAGCCCATCCAGGACTTGAGAACAGTGCACAGCCCCTCCATGACTTGAGAACAATGCACAGCCCCTCCAGGACTTGAGAACAGTGCACAGCCCATCCAGGACTTGAGAACAGTGCACAGCCCATCCAGGACTTGAGAACAATGCACAGCCCATCCAGGACTTGAGAACAGTGCACAGCCCATCCAGGACTTGAGAACAGTGCACAGCCCATCCAGGACTTGAGAACAGTGCACAGCCCCTCCAGGACTTGAGAACAGTGCACAGCCCATCCAGGACTTGAGAACAGTGCACAGCCCATCCAGGACTTGAGAACAGTGCACAGCCCATCCAGGACTTGAGAACAGTGCACAGCCCATCCAGGACTTGAGAACAGTGCACAGCCCCTCCAGGACTTGAGAACAATGCACAGCCCATCCATGACTTGAGAACAGTGCACAGCCCATCCATGACTTGAGAACAGTGCACAGCCCATCCAGGACTTGAGAACAGTGCACAGCCCATCCAGGACTTGAGAACAGTGCACAGCCCCTCCATGACTTGAGAACAGTGCACAGCCCATCCATGACTTGAGAACAGTGCACAGCCCATCCATGACTTGAGAACAGTGCACAGCCCATCCAGGACTTGAGAACAGTGCACAGCCCCTCCAGGACTTGAGAACAGTGCACAGCCCATCCAGGACTTGAGAACAGTGCACAGCCCATCCAGGACTTGAGAACAGTGCACAGCCCATCCATGACTTGAGAACAGTGCACAGCCCATCCAGGACTTGAGAACAGTGCACAGCCCATCCAGGACTTGAGAACAGTGCACAGCCCATCCAGGACTTGAGAACAGTGCACAGCCCATCCAGGACTTGAGAACAGTGCACAGCCCCTCCATGACTTGAGAACAGTGCACAGCCCATCCAGGACTTGAGAACAGTGCACAGCCCATCCAGGACTTGAGAACAGTGCACAGCCCATCCAGGACTTGAGAACAGTGCACAGCCCCTCCAGGACTTGAGAACAGTGCACAGCCCATCCAGGACTTGAGAACAGTGCACAGCCCATCCAGGACTTGAGAACAGTGCACAGCCCATCCAGGACTTGAGAACAGTGCACAGCCCGTCCAGGACTTGAGAACAGTGCACAGCCCCTCCAGGACTTGAGAACAATGCACAGCCCATCCATGACTTGAGAACAGTGCACAGCCCATCCAGGACTTGAGAACAGTGCACAGCCCATCCAGGACTTGAGAACAGTGCACAGCCCATCCAGGACTTGAGAACAGTGCACAGCCCGTCCAGGACTTGAGAACAGTGCACAGCCCCTCCAGGACTTGAGAACAATGCACAGCCCATCCATGACTTGAGAACAGTGCACAGCCCATCCAGGACTTGAGAACAGTGCACAGCCCATCCAGGACTTGAGAACAGTGCACAGCCCCTCCATGACTTGAGAACAGTGCACAGCCCATCCATGACTTGAGAACAGTGCACAGCCCATCCAGGACTTGAGAACAGTGCACAGCCCATCCAGGACTTGAGAACAGTGCACAG